CTTTGCCTGAAAATCGCTGACATTTCGATGTGTTTTGGTTTAAACTAAATAAAGTTCGGCGAATTAAGTTCGACGTCTGAATCAACAGGTGTGCTTTTGGTAATTTGGGTCGGTCCAAATTCGAATTAAGTTCGGCTCATGAAAAGTTCGGCGTCTGAACTGGGCCTAAAATGCAAAATCATTGTCTATTTTCTTCTAACGATATTTATTTATGGAAGTGCCAAAAATCCTGATGAGAAAAAAAAGTAATGAGGACGAGCAAACTTTGGCAGAATTAAGTTCAGCTCATCGCCGTTCGCCACAATGTCAGCTAGTACAAACCAGTTACCTAAACCTGATTTCGAATCGTACTGGTACCATCTATCGGCCAATCCATCTTTCTGCACAAAACGTTTTTTTTGGAGTTTTATCCAAACAATGCCCTTTATCAAATTTATTAAACTATTTCATAGTAATTGGAAAATTATTTTTGTGGGACTGCAGAAGCAGCCAAACACTTCTTAAAATTCAAGGACTGCAATCAAAACTTAAGATTAAATATGAAACTGAAAAAAATATCAACAAGAAAAACTTCTTTGAAAAGAAATGGGTGCTCACTCCAATATAATTATGCCCATCTTATTTTATTGCCTTTTTATTTTAATATGAATGAATCTTTTATTTTGTTGCTCATTGCCTTAATATGAATTTAAATAGCATCAGTAATCATATTATTTTGTAAGTAGTGTAAGAAGTGGTATCGTAAGTTAAATAAGTAATCGTATTGTTTTGTAGAGTAAGTTATGCAAATTGTACTATTGTAAGTAACACCTGTAATTGCATTGAATTGTAATTAGTGCGTAAGTAATTGAACTGTATAAAAACGTTTTGTCGGTAATATAACGGACTTTAGTAGTTGTATTACTTTTGTAAATAGTGTAAGTAGACGTACCATTGTTTGTAAGTATTATTAATCACAATTAAAGTGTCAAAAAAAAAAAAAAGGCTGGCACATATAAGGCCCCACTTCTACAGTGTAAGTCGAATAATTCCAGTCTGCGAATGCATCAGGTTCTCATCCCTCCCAGCCGGTTTAGGTTTGAGAGGCTATATTTCCAGGTAAGTATACATACATTTCCAATTTAATTCATATCAGTAGACGTTCAGCTTTAATGAATCCGATTGATCTCACATTGTAGTGTATTTGCTGATGCCACAAGTCTGGTAATACTTGTTATTACCTAGGTGGAGTCAGCAGAGGTTCACTTTAAGAGTAATTTTTTTCTGCAAATGCAATGACTCCGGTCCGAGCTTGAACTTGTGCCCCTTGATCAGGAGTCCAGGGCACCGACCATTAGGCTGTTACATCTGCCCACACGTCCACAGAGTTTCTTAAGGTGATCCCCTAGTAAAAGAACCCGCCATAGATTTCCGATGAAACTTGGTATGCTGTTGTTACAGGACAAGGAGATATTAAAAACGTAGCAAAAAGAGGGGGTCACCGTGCTTGTTTCTACGCCACAATGCTGACAAATACGGTTATTTAGGTGACTTTTGGTCATCTCCGTGCGCAACAAATAAGCTGGATTATTTTTCAAAGCAGCGTGTTATATTACACAGAGTTTGACTTTCTTTGATTGTTTATTCATCTACGTCCCAGAAAAAAATGTCTTAAAATACCCTGCATTTTTTATCCTTTAAAGGAAACAATTTGGACATGCGCCGTTGGGCCCGTTATGACTCCTTCTGTAGTATGCACAAAATAAACCATTTTGAAATAACCGAATTCTGGTGATTCTGTCCATCCGGTTTCACTGCGCAGTCTGCGTTTATGGCGCATGCCTGAAATGGTTGCTCCCAGAGCTCTCGTTTTCCGACCGCTGGTCAAGGGGAACGAAGACTCTGGGAACGAGATTGTAGTATGCATTTCAATTGCCAAAAAAGTAGCCATAGATTTCTGCTAATTTTTTTCTCAGTTATTGAGGATATTGTTCTCATTGAAATTATGAAATAAAAAGTRGGGGTCACCGTGCTCGTTTAAGAGAAAAGGAGCATTTACTTCGCTATCGAGCTTAGTTTGAGGGAAATTTCTTACGTTCTGTACGCGCACGCACTCATGTGCGCGCGCTAATGACGCGAAAATCGTGCGCAGTAGGGATGCGCAATGTAATACTAAGGAATCACCTTAGTTATACTGCCACAGTAATTTCAGTGACTGTAGTGCTATGTAGTTTCAAATTTTATACATCTGTCTACAGCCGGATCAAAAGTAAATCCATTTCAACCTGAGGTATTTTCTTCACTGTTCTCTTGCTCTCCAGACATAAATGCAGGCATGTCGGGAGTAGATGATTCCAAGTCATCAAATTCTTCAGTTCTTCTAATTTCTACTTGAACCAAGCCAGTGGACAGTGCGTACAGTGTCATGGCCAGGGCAGCCACACCAAAAGCAAGCCATTTGTTACGCTTTTCAGTTGAGTCTGATGTGTCATCTTGGTCGGAAGATGACTGAGACTGTTGCTGTTCTAAAAGCAAAAATAACATCATCAATGTACTCTTGTTATGCTTACCAATGTTTCATTTCCCTTTTCTAGTGTTGTAAGACTACTTTTTAGTGCTGACTCTGAAATCAAAATTACATGTAGCTTGTGTAAAGAATCAACCCCTTAAAGGCTTGATCTGTAAATGCAGGAAAATTCTGCTAAAATATTTTGAACATGCTTACCTTCTTCCTCTGGTGGAAAGTAGCGCTGTAATATACGACCACAGAATGAGCACAAGTTATCATATCCTTGCAAGTAATTACACAACTTATTATTTGGCAAACGCGCTTTCCAGATCACTGCAAGGTGAGCAAACACCACTGCATCAAGGGTGGTTGGACTGGAAAAATAATACATAGAAAATAAAATAACATTATCGTTTTAAGAGGATAAATGTGAAGCTTTTAAAGTTGAGGTCTGTTTTTATCCTTATGGAGGGAGGTGTAGTGGCCTTATTGTTTGGGTGCTGGACTCAGGACTGAGTGTACCTGGTTCAAGCTCTAGTCAGGGTCAGTGCATTGTTTTTCTATTTATGCTAGACAGTTCAATGCTGGGGGGTTAGCCTGTAATGGACTTGTATCCAAAACATGCTACAAAAGCCAGAGATACAGTGTAAGCCTCAGTATCATCAGAAGCCTTCTTCTTTGTACTCTTTCACTGTGTTTAATGAGTAAGACGTTAAAGTATCAAACCCGACTGCAAATTAGACAAATTTAAACAAACATTAATTTAACGTTAACACCTAACCGCTTTAGCTGGTTAGCAGGTGAGATGGTTAGCAGTTTAGTGGACAGCAGCTCTCTAAATCATCCTAATAGTGCACTCTGGACTAACAAACTGCATATGTACATAGTAAGAATCAAAGGAAGAACGTGATGTCACCTGTCTCCAAAGAAAAACTCTTTTCCATCCAGCAGAGTAGATAACAGTTTAAAACATTCCAAGGCATCCTTAAAAAGCTGAAATTACACAACAACTAATCATGACATCATATCAAACTAGGAATTCAGTTTGATCTAATGCAATAACATGGCCATCACAGTCTTGATAACAACTGAAGCTGTGTGCACTTTGACTTGACTTGACTTGACTTGACTCTCTTAAAGCACATAAACTTACTTACACTAATTTGCAAGCTATAAATTCAGTAACCTTATTTCAATTTTTTTCTCAATAGAAACCCGCAGCCGGTGGAATTCTGCCGGCTGTAAAGACAAATATGTAGCTGCCTGTTCCAGTTAATCCAGATACACAGTGTTGTGGTATATGCTACTATTTCATTTAAATATTGGTCATTCGGATAGTAACATTTTCTTTTGTGTGCATTTTTATATATTTTATTGATTCAGAAAACACATGCTACATCTAATTTTACGCTCTCAAACAACTTGTTTTCCATAAGTTCAACAAGTACTTAACCCCACCCCCTCCCCCCCCCCCCCCCCAAAAAAATTGCATGAAAAGGCATCTTTGGCAGCCTATAATTTCAAAATTTTCTGGGGGGTGGGGGGCATGGCCCCGGACCCCTCCAGGTTGGGTCGGCCCTTTGGCCTTGCTTTATTCTGCCTGTTAATATGCGCTATTGGTCACCTGTGAAAAATTCTACTGAGAACCCTTTAAGACAAAAAATAGCTCCTGAATCATTCACAGACAAACCTTATTTTCCAGTACATCATCTGTTTCCTCTGAATACATTCCATCAGATATTTGCCATCTTGTCTGTCTTGAGATCCGCCCAGGAATGAAATAGTTCAAAGGAAATGGCAATCTACGTGCATACCATGGACGAGTGAATTTGGTGTAATTCTTATTATCCACCCAAAATGTAAATGACTGCAAGATCAAGCATAGTGTTACTTTCACCTACCTACAGTGATCAACAAAACAAAATTTGATTTGTTGATATGGTGGGTTTCCGCAAGTAATTTTTAATATAACTTTGAATGGTTCCATCTAGCTGTCTAGAGAGATCTTTTGTTCTGTTTTTCACCAGGAAGGCAACTAGTTTAACAGGCAGGCAAAACTTTTTGAACTGATCTTCTTTAAAAGAAAACCTTTCCTCTAGATGGTCAAATCATCCTCACAGCCAGTCAATTTGTCTAGTGTCCGGACCTCATTTAAACCCTGGTTTTCAAAATAATATTATTAATTTGCTATATTTAGGGGTTGAGGGGTTAGGAAATATGTCTAGACCATGTCATTAGTTAAGATAAGGCATCTTGGGTATGTTCTCCCAATTGTTTTTCATGCCAATTACCGGTTAGTATTTTAGGCATATTTTGTAAGGTTCTCTCCAAAGGGTGGACATCAATGGGGAAACTGAAAGTCAGCAAATTTAATTCTAAAGTTATGTACCATTATTTGAAGACAATTCTGATGCATAAGAGGTAACATGAAGGATACTACATACAACCCATTCAAAATGATCACATAAATAATTATTTACAAATCGTAATAAGTATAACTTACAATTGCTGGATACAGTTTGTTCCGAACCAGAGAAACAAATGCAAGAGTATCTGCCCCCTGTTTGGCTGTCAACTGATAATCAGCATTGAAGTTCTGGGGAAAAAAAGTACCTTTTCAGTCTCACTAGTCCGATGGGCAAGGGATCAGGCAAGTTGTCTGCCAACTACATCATTAAAAGAGCAAACTATTTCTTGCCCAGTGCAAGCATTACTTGAGAGATACTTGCCAAAGGGCAAGCTGGAATTTAAGTTTTCTTCGAGCCCTGTAAACACTTTATTTTTGTGACAATGGATGCGATTCATTCCCGGGGGGGTACTTTGGGAATTTCTGGGTGGGGATGTGCCGCTGTGACCCCGGAACCCTTAGCCTATATCAGAGCTAGTTCAGCTGAATTTTGCTAACCTATACTANGACCACACACCAATTTTTAAACATTTGTTTGTATTGTAAGCAATGTGACTATTAGTATATTATGAAGTGTTAGTAGTGCAAGTAAAATTAGTACTGTAAGTATAGTCACTATTGTAAGTAGTATTACAGGTAATTTTGAACGTAATGTTCGTATCGTAAGAAATGTTAGTATTGTCAGTAATGTTAGTATTGTGAGTTATGTTAGTTTTCCAAATAATGTGTACATTCAAATGAAAATAATTTTAAAAAAATGTAACTACCGGAATATACCTACTTTTTCCCTCATGTAATCCATGATCTTGCTTGGTGTTGTTAAAATATCTTCACCGGATTGTAAAACTGGGAATTCTCCTTAAGAAATGCAAACGTATTGTAATAAGCTTAATACCAATTTGATACCAAAACCATGAAAACATTTGCTTATAATTAGGAAACTATTTCTCTTCCTATCGTCTTTATTAATTAACTATAAGTATTGTGAAGCTGCAGATGCAACGTACCGGGGTAGAAGATTGTTTCTGGCCTGTTTCCTGTTGTTTAGACCTCTTACTGGTAGCTATAAAGCGAAGGCTCAACGCTTACCTACAGGAGATTTCCAAGGATTGTTGCATCGATTAACTCTTAGCGGACACTCAGCAAATTTAGCGTAAGCCTATGGGAAAAAAAGAGAAGCATGAGATATTTGGCTAAAACAAAACTCGTGAAAGAGATTAATTTACGAACCAAAACTTCTAAACAGCTGATGTCTATGGAGGGAAGATTCCAATCGCCTGGCCAAGAAATTACCTCCATTTTGACTTCAGTATGAATTACCCAGGACAATTTTCGGCCCTGTTACTATTATAGTCGCGAGTAGCACCCAGACCCCGTCAGTACTGAACCCGTCCCTGGGGCCTTCTCCTCGACGAGGTTGTTTCTTTCCTCTTCCTGTCTTTCCAAGACCATTTTCGTGTTGTTAGATTAAACAGGGCATAATTTTCAATGAAGGATAAGCGAATTAATCGCAACCTGATGCCAGGAGGTTGGTGGTGTGCAGCCCGCTTTCCGAAACTCTTACCTTATTTCAGACCAAAATCTCCGATTTTCCCTCCGACCCTTTTCAGACCTGACCAGATATTCGATACCCCATTTCATAATCAGTTTCCTAGTTCTGACAATGTTAAAGGAAATGTTTGTATGATTTTATTACATAGGAGAAGGGTCGAGAGACCAAAAATCAAAAGAAAATGGTAGCCTGCGTGGCAGGTGTCCGAAGGGGAGGGAAAGGGAAAAAAACGAGCGCACGAAGCAGGATCGAGCACACCGAGCGCGTGATGGTAGGGTCGATCCTCCCGCGCTCATTTTGACCCTTTCCCTCCCCCTGTACGGCCTGCCATGCAGGCTAAAGAAAATGATAAATGTACAAACTTCACCGAACGCAGGATTAGTGTGCTGTCAACCCCACTTTACACACAAATTATACTCTATTCAGACCAAAACAGCCAAAAATCATACCCTTTCTGGCTGCACTATCTATCTAACCCATATTAGGGACTACCCCTTCGGGTGTTTCAGGCGATGCAGTCACACACTGATATGATCCATGTCACGCAACACAGAAGAACTGACAAACAAGCCAAGCAATGCTCATGTTACAATTACTTAGCGTGACCAAACTGGCAACGGAAGCCAAGACAGAAGTATAAACCACAGCTGTATAGTAATTTTGCTTTCAAAAGCAGGTATTTTCACAGACGTGTTAACTGAGATTCCGGCCCAGTGTTAATATACCCCAGGGGATTACGGCTAATGATAATGATAATGATGTTAACAGAGATTCTGCAAAAAAAACTTCACAAGAAACATCAGGTGAATACAATGCATGTGGGGCAGTGGCACCTATGGCATTGTATACAAAAATCTACACAAAATGGTTGTCCAAGGTCAAAAAGAAAAACAAACAAACACAAAAGCACTCCAAAATTTAATATAACCCCAAATCGTCTGACTTTGCAAAGTTAATGGATATTGCTATTGAGAATCAGTGGCTTGCTGGAAATTCTGTCCTCTACGCGTTCCTCACTGATTCTAAGGGATTGATCATTCTTGAAGGAGAAGATGAACTGGAGATGACCCCCAAAAAGAATTGTTTTCTTTAATGTGTTTCGACCCTTTCTCACGAGGAACTCTTGCCGTTCGTGTTCACCTATAAATTAATCTTAGATCGTTGTTAACATATTTTGGGTACACAATATTTGCCATTCTGTCGATCAATCTTTGTACTCACTTCAAATCATTCTCTTAAGCAAGAGACAAAGCAAAGTTCGACTTTGTGGTAATAATACACGTGTGGAAACCTCCCGTACTGGGAGCAAACTGATTTACGTGCTTCCAAGGGTAAAACGCCAGGGTGGGGACTCCCATATAAAAATGACGGGGATGCTTGTCGTCCCTTCAAAACCGCTTTTTTTTTACCCTTAAGCGATTTTGGTACCTCTTAGAGTGTTTAGCCTCAAAAGGTCCACAGCGGGAGCTTTTACAGTACGTTTTAGGGTATTGAGCCGAAAAAATATGACAGGAGATAATTTGTTGTTTTAGAATTAGTACCTTTCAGGGGTGAAAAACATTTCAAGCCACGCCCACAAAACAGTATCTTGGTAACTCTTAGGAGTTCTTTTCAAAATTTCCGACGAGCACCCCTGTCCTTTTTATATGGGACTCCCTTCCCCGGGCGTAGAACAGCGACGTTCTTAGCTAATTGGGGAATTTTTCAAGCTTATAGTAGTCTTCCATATGTAGAGTTAGAGTCCGAACGACCGAAGTTGAATTGAAACACGCTTCAGCTGTAGATTTTATCAGCTGACAAAACAACTATTAGCCCCTCGGAGGAGTCCCGTATAAAAGGGATGGGTTACTCGTCGGAAATTTCGAAAAGAGCCCCTTAGAGGTACCGGCGTGGCTTGAAATTTCTTTCACCCCTAAGAGGTACCAATTCTAAAACTATACATTAACTGACATTAACTTTTTTCGGCTCAATACCCTAAAAGGTACCGCGAAGGGTAAACACCCTTATTGGTACCAAAACCTCTTTTTTAACCTCTGAAAGGTACGACAAGCACCCTCGTTCTTTTTATATGGAAGTTCTTCCTGGGGAGTCAGCTCTTCGGTAGAGTAACATCACTTCGCTCTCTATTACCCCGCTTAGTGATTCTTTTACGCAACTCAAATGAAAAAGTGCTCTTGACACGTCATATCGTTCAAATAACAGAAGTCTTGTTTCCGTCAGTCGAGTGTTGCATTGTGGTTGATTGGGGGAAAAGTAACATAACAAATAGCAAATTAATAAACATCACAGAAGCATAAAATATTAGTCCGAGTTGTCATTTACCAATGTTTATTTATGATATATATAGGCAAACTCTGCATCGGCGAGAGGCTTCAAAAGCAATCTGGTCTCATACTGAGTACTGATTTTTAAAAAACGCACACATACACTCACACTGTCGTTTTATTGGCAAACTAAACCCAAAGAAGAGGAATTAATCTGACTTTTAAAGCAGTGAGACCAACAAATGGCAGAAGGCATTATTACAAGATTGTTATGCATTGCCATGTCCTCTTCACAATTTTAGGTTAAACGATAGGATACCTTAATTGTATACAAATGCACCTTTAAAGTCTCCATCGTTCTGTTCAGTTCTTCCCTATGAGCCAACGTTGCATACAATAAATCACTAACTCAAAAACTTTAATCCTTCAATTCTCAGCAGTTGTCTTTAAGATATGGGCATCGGGGAGCTGATCGTCTAAAAAACACACGTAGACTAACAGCTTAGCTCGACTTAGTCGACACACTGGATTCACACTGTTTTATTCTAAGAGCATGGGACTCACGGAAAACTGAAAACGCTCAAAATTCAAAACGCGAAATCACAACTGATTTCTACTGAATTGTACAGTCGCCTCCATGGCGTTCCTAAAAAGGAAAAGAGAAACAAAAAGGAAGATAAATTACATTAAGAAATAAAAAGTGGATCTAATAGATTTAGTAAAACGTGACTACAAACTCTCGTCATAAATTATCTCTGGAACAAAGCGTTACATGAAGGGCTGGACTAGCACTGTTCAAATTTTTCTACCGACACCAAAAGAACGTGGAAAAGAAGAACCACGAGACATCCCATCGAGCTCTGTGCATACAAGCTAACAACTTGTTTTTTTTCCTTTTTGTTTTTGCATTTCCATCGCTCTGAGAAAAAAAGTGCAGTGAGCAGTGTAACAGTGTAACCTGAATGGGCATTTATACTGAGGCATGGTGGTTTCACGTAGAGACGCGGTGGCCTCATGGTTAGTGCGCTCGTCTCCGGATAGAGCGGTTCGGGTTCGAGTCCTAGGGACCGTTTCTCGAAAGCCCCGGAAACTTTTCGGGCCCGTAAAGCCACTTTTAGTTCACTTTTAGTTGTTAGTTAAGATTAACTAACAACCCAAAAATTAAACTCGGATATAAAGATAGGGCAATGCAATTTCCAGCCCTTGGGCACTAATTAATATAATTGGAAGTGTGAGGGTCGAAGATCGGCATTGAGCATGAATGTGGGCAACTTGTAATGTTCCTTATAAGGCATGTGTACCATATATGGTACCACCGCAGCACTTACCGCGAGAGTTTTTATGGTTGCTGCTTGTCTGTCAGCTTCGCCAGTCCTTATGACTCTCACATCTTCACGGATCAAAGTAGCTTCTTCCTGCAAACATAAAAAATAAATGTAGCAGAGATAAACAAGGTGATATAGCAAGAAGTTTTAACTGAAAGATTTTGAATTGCGTCATTTTTACTTGAGTGTCAGGTTCGCCAGTCCTACTGATAGTCACTTCTTCATATACTTCAGAAGCTGCTTCCTGAACAAAAAAAGATATTTTGAAATAAGTATTGCTGCGTCGATGGGCAACAGAGAAAGCGAAGTAATTACAGTTTATGTTTCAGTTAGAAGAATTATTAATGTTACTTTAAACATTGTACTGTTTAATTTTGGATAAAATCCAATCGACTCTTTGATTCCTTACACCTCGTTCATCGGTACTGTAAGTTTTCGAAAGCTGCAACGGGAAATTCAGGAGAACACATAATTGTTATAAAAATGTGCAAAGACCAATCGTGAAATTTAAAGGTATTCTAAGTACATTGATCGACTCATACCAATTAAAGAACATTACCGCTTTCTTTACATTCTTTACAAACCTGTCCATCAGAGTCCCTTAGAACTGTCTTTGTTTCTTTGCCAACACCCCAGCTTGCCTTCTGTTTGAAAACTAGATCTGTTGGTGGCTTGTGCTGACCAGCACCTTTGGATGCCCAGATCTACAATTCACAAAAGTTTGAGTTTGAGATAAATTCATTGATTTTGGAGACTGGTTCTGTTCTGGATCTACTGAGGGACCCTTGGCCCCATTTCTGATGAGAAGGTTTATCTGAACCATTTCTTTTTTCAAGTTGATCTCCGTGAAGTATTAGATGTCTTGGGCACTGTTGATAGGTGACCTGTAGGTCTGCTATAGTCTTCAACACGACGGTAATTGGCAGTCGAAAACTTGTATAGGTTACTCTATTTTTAGCCAAAGATGGTTTTCTAAACCATTTTTCTGTGACGATTCATCTAAGCTGTGGCCCCTCGGTATATTTGCAAATTTTTAGAGTAGTTTAGTAATGCAAGTTGGAGGTGAGAAAATCCAAAGTAACCTGCTCCTCTATTGGCTGAGAAGTTTGAATATGAATAGAAAATGTCTAACAGTTGAGTTTTTAATATAAAACAGTCATTGCATCACACATCAGAGGAAACATCCTTAACAAGAAGTTTTAACTCACTGTGACATGAGATCCACTTTTCAAAACATATTTAGAAGTGAACTTATAAGTGACCGGTGGTTCACCGTCAACTGATCTTTCCACACTCCATCCACCAAGAGGAAAATCCTGAACAAACAAACACACTAACAAGGTTACTAAGAGTAATTACCATGTATAATATATTATTTTCGACTGAATGTTCACTTCCTCTGAACTCTGATACGTAGAAGCCAATTAGAGACTGCCAGACAGAGACCTTTTGCCGGATCTAGACCACCTTTCCTATTTGGAAGTAATTCATCTGATGTGTTCTTTTTTCAACTGTGATGTTTTTTTTGGAAGCACTCATAAAGGTAGGTTCTTAATTTTCTCATCCCGCCACATCAAGCAGAAAGCCATGAATTGTCAAACAGTTGTCATGCCACTGTGGAGCTCTCACAACAGTAATCAAACGCTCTGACTGCGTACGATTCCCACCACAACTGCGCCTATAAAAGTCTCATTTTTATGAAATCAGTCTCCTTCTGAAAAGTGAAGTTTGCCCTCGACATACGCGTGGATGATTTTACAATCGTTATCTTTATCCACTACTTTTTTAGAACGTTTTTATAATGTTCATAACGTTTCCCGACAAACGTCTTGTATATTTCGATTCAAACTCTTGCAAAGTTCGATGCGACGAAAAACAGAAGCGGCGTTGGACTTTTGTTTTTAACCGCTGTCAACAAGCGATCAGTTGGTTAGCAACGATCCAGGCAAACACCGCAGGCTCATTCCGGTTTCGGAGACTGGAATTCATTTTCAATAGGTTCCCATTCCTTCGCGAGAACGTGAAGAGCCATATCAGTATTTTAACAACCATGTGGGTTACTTACTTTAGGTCCACTGTTGAACAACTTGACAAATTTGCCTTCAATGTTTGCTTCCTCAATCTGAATCCATCCCTCACTGGAATGTTCATTTACTTCCACTCGCCTACGCATACGTTTCAGACCAGGTGACCTGAAAGATGACATTTATCATTAGATACGTATTTTATAGCCCAAGGAACTTATACTGGCAAACACAGGTCACATCGGGGAACGCTTTTATTAAAATACCTGAGTTCATCGGACAATCAGTTAAACTGATCAGTTGATGGCTACCAGTTGAAAATTTAATCAATCACCTATCATAGGCCTCTTATTTTTGCGTGGATTTATTTATTATAGTCGAGTATCTTTAAAGATTCGCATAAGTTTGTAGCCGGGACGATCAATCAACGGAAAGGAAATATAACTATGATATTCAGTTGCAATTTACACCTAATCGTGCCTTTTTGGTACGCTTCGGCGGC